GAAACACAGCAGACGGCTGTGGCAGTGGCGCATACGGTCAAATACCAATGGCTCGCACGCTTAATGTATGTCAATGAAATCACACATTCCACAGCCAATGGAGCATGATGGTGCCATACCGGTGATCAGCGGTTTAGAATAGCACACAGTTTATGCGTCGTCACGGTTTGCTTATTCCCTGCGTAATGCATTGCTTTGGACCAGAAAGCTGTGCATTACAAAGGGAACGAAGTAACAAGACACTATAGTACCGATTCAGGTCCCAGGGGCCTCTGCCGATAGTCCCTGTTCTTTTCTTAGTCCTGTCTGTCTGCAGGGCGGCTTTGGGATAACTAGGCCTTCTGCAGAGAGCATGTTTTGCCAATATGTTTTGTCTCGGCTGTGGCTCAGTTCAGTCTATCGGAGATAAGAACGGGGCTTTAAACCAGAAGAAAAGAGCATGGTTTGGTCAGACCTTGAACATGTCAGTATCAATTCAGTAAATTCACCGTTATTGCAACTGGACAGATACCTTCACTTCATCTTCCATGTCTGAAATCTTCTTCTGCAGGGCGCAGGCTTCCTACAGGGAAATTACACATCTCTCAATGAGACTGAACACCGTTGAACTGTACTGCATTAAAACCAAATGTATTGAACGAACATGTTGAACCAAACATAGGTACCCCGGGCACTGACAAACATCTAGTGACATTGACGTCTCACCCGTTTTTCCGTTTCAATGGACCTATCAGTGGACCTCTCAGACACTGTCATCTTTCTCTGCAATTCAAAAAGCCATGTTTAAATTCCAAGAATCAGAAAAGCACATTTACGTGTGCCATTGCTGTTTCAAGTAGGAACTTTAAAAACAACCCTGGTTATTTTTAATTTAGGGCTGAGGGTTTGTTATGGAATCATTTCGTGTGACAGGCGAATACCATTTAGGGAAAATCACCTGTTTGGCCCTCTGCAGCTGGGTCTGAACCAACACCAACTCCTGTTTGCTGCCCTGCAGTCGGGTTTTCAGCCTTTCATTTGTGGACAAGGCCTCCTCGTACATCTGCAGTTTACACAATCCGAAAACCAGTCTCAACAACATTTTACAGGTTTACATCGGCCAGGCTTTTTTCACGTAATCTGATCTCCGAACGATAAGCGGTAGGCGATAGGTTTTTTTTGCCCAGCGTAATAACGACTATGTCACACCGCCTAGGTCATTACATAATATATGTACCCAGATGGCGGCTTTGGGAGACTAGTAGTAGGTTTTGCCTTACAGTTACCTTCTTATAGTCGGTGCACCCAGCCTCCTCCTCCGCCTTTTTCCGGGCTGCCATTCGGTTTTCCCTGCGAGCGTCGTACGCCTCTCGGTCGTAAGCTCCAGAGGAGTCCAGTCTTAAATGAAGATAGCACATGTGTTCGGAAATAGTGCACTTATTGACAAACGGGACACCAAGAAAATCTATTTTGTCTTTTGATGAATTTAAATGGGCAGCAACTTACCTGGACACTCTTTCATGCTGCAAAAAAGGAAACATAAGATACGTCATTTACAAAGTGAATTAAACACGCTAACTTTAGATTGTTTGCAAGCATGAGATGTTTTATATTCTGTTTCTGATGCACTGTTTATTGAACCGACGGAACAAACCTGTGATGGTACTCTTTACTCTGTTTATGTTTGTGACAATAAATTAATTTGATAGCATTTCTTCGTACACACACGACTCTTAAGTTGCTTTGCAAATTTGGGCATTTGGCCGTGCGTGGTTGAGGATCTTCCCAAGACAAATCAGTCACAGGCAATGCTCTACCAAGCCTGGCACGGACGTCGGCTTGGAAGGGACACCCCTGACCTGTGTTCCCTAATCGTTGTCTTCATTTCCACTGCTAGTGTGTCTTCGTTCGGTTTGTACGTCACATTCTGTTTCATTTCAGTTTATTGACGTCTTTGTTCTTTTTATTAAATAGAACAAACCTCAGTGAAAATGCCCTGAAGCGCTTTTTCCTGGCTCACTTTTTAATCCTTCTCTGTTGACTGTATGAAGCACTCAACCTAATGTTGGTGCAGCTGTTACAGCACCAGAAACGAGCACTACACTCCAAAAGTGGTCTGGAACAGTAGTCCCTATAAGGGGAGCTTCTGCCAAGTCATCACGCTGCCTTCAGACAGATATTAGTAGCTGTGATACTACCCGGGAAACGGCTGTTCTCATGTAAATCCTCAATGCTACATTTTCACACATACTACGTTCAAAGTATTCATGTAAACATCAACCTTTTGAACGTTAGACCTTAATTTAAAAGCCGAAATTGCAGTTAAATTAGCCTTTTCTTCTACCAGTTCAACATGTTCTTGGCTTATTATTAAGTATTTTAAGTGCTACATAGTTACACCCCATTTTGCGGCTCAGCTCCCTCAGTTACATTTTATTCATGATGCAACTCTGCTAAGGGCCTTGTCCACACATGTTTGTGACAACATGCAAAGAAATCATTTTGAATTCCCTTCATCATGTCATTTGCTAAATTGTCAGTCTGTGATTTCTATTTTCATTTCCACTAGATTTGTTTATCATAAATGGGTGATCTCAGAAGTGGTTAGTCAGTTGATATCATCTGGTATGATTAATCTCAGGAAAGTTATGATTTTCTAATGTCTGGTATTAAAAGTTTGTCAGGACATCATTGTTTATTTTCCTGAGACAGACCTATGCATCCTTCTCGAACAGTAAAAATAGTTTGTAAATACTCTAACTATGCAAACATATACATAAGTGTTCATTAGTTATTCTTAAATTAATTTACAGACTTAAGACCGGTAATAAGATAAGTATACTCTTTATAAAGTTGTATTAAATGATTTAAATGCTGATGCATTTGTCTTACAATATTACATGCAAATATAAATATACTTTCAATAGACCTTAAGTACATACATATACAGTAAAAAGGTAAATGAAAATTCATATAGTTGATTTTAAAATTAATATAACCAAACATCAAATAATAGATATTTTAAATACAATTCCAGTATTTTCTATACAAATAAATACATCTGACTGACGCACATTTGCCTCTGTCTATGTCAGTGGCAGTCCAGCCACTACCACCTCCTTTAGACATTTTTGGATCTGTCAAACATTTGTTGTTGTTTTTTCATTACAGTGAGCATCCTTTGGTCCTCCATTCCTTGGTCTAGCAGTTCACTTCTGAGCAAACCAGTTTAGCGTATTATGTATCAAACGGTGGATTTTGCCATTCTTAATGATTTGGCTAGCCTCAACTTCCTCAAATGTTTCTTTTTTATCTGATACATCATTATGACCATCTTGATTTACTTTGACAGCTCTTTCATTCTCATGTTGTCAGGCGCCATCGTCGGACAAACGCAAGTCCAAATGTGACTAGTAATTCACAGCTCTCTTGTCCATGCAATAATGTCTTAAACATCTTTTCTGTGATTTTCTCAATTTATATAAACACACACACATTGTAACTTTGGGTGGTTCATTGATGAGGTCTAAATGTTACTACCCCTCATCAAATACTGCTGTATTTTCCAGAGTAGGGATATTTAACATTGCTGCCCAGTCATTTCTTTAATATTTACATAATCATTTTCGTAGGATTATTATGAACTTGTAGAGCTCAGTAAGCAACTGAAATTCTGTCACAACTGTGTTTTTATGAATACAATACTTGAGCATAAAAAATACTCTAATGATTTATAAATAGTGTTCTGTATTTGTATACTTAAAATACTTCTCTAAGCTTTTTTTCTTGCCTTTTCATATTTCCAACGAAGACTTAGTTTAGACCTTCACACTGTCCAGCATGTGCCTATCAGTAGAAAACATCTTGTAATGAAATGCAAGACTTATGCCAAGTTAGAGAAGGACAGAAGAAAAGAGTCACATGTACTAACTGAGACTCGGAGATAAAACTAAACACATCCAAAAAAGGAAAAACCCTATGGCAATGGCTTAGCCTGGGAATCCTGGAGGTTATTGCCTGCAAAAGGATTGGAGGGAATGGACTTGTTCTTAAAGAGACAACGCAGTAAAATTGCAACATTTGAGCTATAAGAGGATGTTTGTTTTCCTTGTGATTTGCCTTGCCTCTCTTTTTGAAAGCTTCATTTTGGCTTTAATGAAATTCTGGACAGGAAAGGAGATCCTGGCCTGTGTTCTCAGGCTTTTTTCTTTTTCCATATGACTAGGGAAGCATGACAGACCAATACATTGTCAGCCAATAGCGAAGGTACAGTGGGATGCAGAGGGTGAGGAATGAAGGCATGCAAAATTGTTTAAGGCCTCTAGTGCGTAGGAATATATCCTTTAAAATACAACTGTTTAAGGGCCTCTAGTGTGTATATCCTTTAAAATACAATTGTTTAAGGGCCTCTAGTGCGTAGGAATATATCCTTTAAAAATACAATTGTTTAAGGGCCTCTAGTGTGTATATCCTTTAAAATACAATTGTTTAAGGGCCTCTAGTGCGTAGGAATATATCCTTTAAAATACATAACAATCACAGATCGTCCGTGCTATTTAGGTTACATACAAAATGTTTCACTGCTATACAGATATCCACCACAATAGCAAATATACAATTTTATAAATTGCTTTGCGCATTTGACTGTTATTGCTCTTAATAATCAAAGGGACTTGATTGTATGAAGATAGACTTCTAGTCAGTCATAGAACAGCATTATTGTCAGGGCCAGATTATAGGACCATTAGTGTCCGAGGACTCGGGGACAGTCTACTGTGAATGCAAAAGGGAGATTAAGTGATTATGCTTGAATATCTGGCCGCTCCAGCCCATCAAGTGGCCCCGATTACCAGGAATCCATCTCAAGGGCCTTTTCACGACCCATATAGGGCCACTCGTTTCAATGTCATATGTTCTATTTTGTATTATATAATATATACTACATATTTATATTATATTCTGTATTTTTTAGGAATTTGAGCCAGTAATTGTACCGCTACCTGCCCCGCCAAATGGGATATCCCTATTTGGTGCAGTGGGTAGTGCGCTCGGCTGCGGAGCCGTAGGTCGCTGGTTCGATTCCCCTGCCGGAGGCTACATTATTATAAATTGGATAGTTTCAGTAGTTGTACGCAACGATTATTTGCCCTTATAGTATCGCCTCATCGCAGAGTTTGAACATTTGTTTTACCTACAAATCATATATATATAAATGTCAGCATTTATTCAAGCCGGAGACAGACCATCACACACCAAGTAAGGCTATAAAACATGTTGGCCAGGCACACATTAAATTACATTGAATTGTTTGAGGGTGTCGCTAGAGGCAGAATCAGTCCATTGCTTTAGTCTTGAAGCCTCGTGTATAAACATACAGGAATGGTTCCTTCCAGACATCAACAATCTCTCAGGATGTTCTCAGTCTATATCAACACTGTCACTCTCTTATTAAAGAGTGTGTTGCAAGCCATGTCACGTGCTCTTTATTAAAGCTTGCCGTTCACCTTTTGAAGTCCTGCGTTGGATCAAGAAATCTGACGGTGGTGAATGACCTGCGCTCTACCAAGTGCCAGTAACGCATTCCAGCATTGACCTACCCAATCAGGTATAACTCCTAAAACATCCAAACCCATGTACAGTGGAAGTCTTAAGTTTACACCTTAGTCAAAACATTTGGTTTAAACTCAGTTTCTCACTGTTCCCAACATGTATTCCTAGTATATATACTCCCTGTCGTAGGTCAGGTTGGATCACCTCTCTATTTTAAGAATGTGAAATGTCAGAATTACAGTGGATGTTTTATTTCTTTCATCACATTCCCACTGGGTCAGAAGTGATCATACACTCGATAAGACCTTTAAATGGTTAACTTGAGTCGAACGTTTCGGGTAGCCTTGTACACGCTTCTGACAATAGTTTGTGGGGATTTGGTCCATTCCTCCTGACAGAACCGGTGTAACTAAGTCCGATTTTCTAAATAGGATTGTAAATTTGGAAGACATATTTGAGACAAGCTTTCTGATTAATGTCTCCAGATGTTGCTTCATTATATCCACATAAATTTCCTTCCTCATGATTCCTCATCCGTCTCTTAATGACCCCACAACATGATGTTGCCACCTCAGAGCATTTTTTCCTCCAAAAGTAACAATGGTCATTAAGGCCTAACAGATGTATTTTTGTTTCATCAGAGCTGAGGACAATTTCTCCAAAAAGTACGATCTTTGTCCCCATGTGCAGTGCTATGTGGATTCTGGCTTTTTATGGAGCAGTGGCTTCTTCCTTGATGAGCGCGGCCTTTCAGGTTATGTCGTTATATGTCTTGTTTTGTGGTGCGTCACCTTCCTGAGCTGTATGATGGCTGCGTGGTCCCATCGTGTTTATACTTGTGTACATTGTTTGAACAGATGAACGTGGTCCCTTCAGGCGTTTTTCGGAAATTGCTCCCAAGGATTAACCAGGCTTGTCATTTTTTACTTTTAATTTCTCATTATGTCAAGCAGAGGCACTGAGTTTAAAAGTAAACCTTCCAACTGACTCAAAATATGTCAATTGGCCTATCAGAAGTTCTAAAGCCATGACATAATTTTAAGGGATTTTCCAAGCCATTTATCAGCACAGTCAACAAGTCTATGTATATAGTGAATAATAAGTGAAATAATCAGTTGGAAGAATTACTTTCATGCACCAAGTTGAAGTCCTAACTGATTTTCCAAAACTATAGTTTGTTAACATGAAATCTGTGGAGTGGTTAAAAAATGTTTTTCAACAACGTGGTTAAAAAATGATTTCAACAACGTGGTTAAAGGTCCCTCTGGTCTTCTAGTAGACTTAGGGTAGGTACAATAATCCCATTATATATATAATTATAATCACTATAATAGTTTAAGATACAAACAATTGCCAAGATTGTATAGACTAGGGGTCGTTCATGGACCAGGCCAGTCTTCATCAGATGCCATATTTACAGTTAGGTCCGAATTCCAAATGCCAATCCCACACCAGGAATCAACTCCATTCCTTTTACCTGTTTAATTTATGAATTTTAATTTCCTTCTTGATCCCTTGCAAAACAGGGGGCTTAATATTAAACAGGTGTATTTCCCTTCTTTTAATTTGGATTTTAATACACTCAACTTAAAACTTAAAGCCCATATTCATTTTGTATCTGTAACTTGAATTTATTTTGGTAAACAGCGGCAATAACCAGTGTCCAATTATTTCCATACCTAACTGTATACCCAGGCTTTCCTGAAATTAGCTAGCTTCAGTTAGCTTCACATTCCAGCTCAGCCTACCTCCGTATTAGGACTTGGAAATATTGCTTGTACGTCTGCATATGACTTTGGCTGCCTTGTAGCTATGCGTGTGAGACAAGTGTGAGGTAAGATTATACCTTAAGCACCTAAGTTGAAATGTCACTGATGCAGGTATACAAATGGTACATTTTCTGTAACTAAAAAAACTCTATCGTCAAACAGGTCAGTCATTTGTGTCATGATCCAGAGATTCAGTTGTAAGCCCCCAATGTCTGCAGAATTTTAAAATTGAAATAAGATCAATAGACTATTAAATGTGTAAATCGCATTCGCGAGGATGCCTCGTGTCTGAAATTGATTGTAAAGGTAATCAACGACTACCTTCTTTATGTCATTACCATGAGCAAATTTGATTTGCTTTAACTCATAATGATGTTACTGATTATTTGTCTTCGCACAATCTGTTGAAATCATATGTAAGCACAATTTTGAGATGATGTACTAAAAATACTGATAGTTGTCTCTGGGCCTTTTTTAAATGCTAGCGTGTGGAAACAGCACAGGGATACAAAACCAATCACTCACTATAGTGACTTCTCCAAAGTCAGGTTGGCACCATCAGGGGTATCTTTGAAGATGTATTATAGAAACATTTCAGGCAGAAAAGGCGAGCAACGTTTGTGGTACCGGTTATCACTGATTGAACTCAGCTCGCTAATTTCTCAAATGTGGTCTGTGGTAAATCCTCCTGCTCTATAAGATCTCATAAAGGACTTCCTGTCTGCTGACTAGCTCTTCCCAAGTGGAAAATGTAAGCTTCTCCCCCTGGACCAGTAGTAGGATAAACATTGTGACTCTGTTCCCATACAAGCAAGTACTCAAGCACTTGCTTTCTCAGTCTCTCTCACTCTTCTTCTCCCTCTCTCTCTCTCTCTCTCTCTCTCTCTCTCTCTTTCGAAGTTCCAGTGTCAGTGTTTGAGTAAACAATTCAAATATGTTTTTATGTTTCTCGGCTGGCTCGTGTTCAGGAACGTCCAATAGATTCACTTCAATGCATCCCACGCAAAAGGTTTGTTGTTTCCCTCAGGAAACATAACCAATGCCAATCTGAGTTTTGTGTCATCAGTCTTATATTAGGAAAGTTACTTTAGACCCCTATCAGACGAATTCTGAAGCAACTTTCAAAATAGCACCGAGCTGATGATGTCATGGAAACTCTGGGATTTATTTGACCTGTCACATGGATAAAATGTTGAAGCTGTATATTGGGCTGCTATTGGACCATTAAGCAGGATGAAGTACCTAGTGTATCTGTGATGTGTGTTTCAAAGTACTTTGAATAGTCTAAGCCACAGAACAGATCCTTTTCCCTAAGTCAAAAATATACTCTCCATCTTATCACTATTTGTCAACCTATTTATTAAAAAGGCTTTAATTAAAATCTAAATGAATAACCTTTTAACCATGACACATATATTAAATTCAAATACACTCAATAGACACAACACATTAAATTATAAGCAGACACTCTTATCCAGAGAACTTTACAACAGCAAGTCAGGTTGTGTTTTTTAAATATATTTAAAAATGGGAACCAGTCAGCTTTATACACTGGGTAAGTGTTCTTGATTGCTAAACTACTACACGTTGCTAAACTATCCTGTAAGGCTCCACACCAATCATGAGAGAAATTAATCTGCTCTTACTTTGAGGTTTTTGGAGGTCTGCGCGTCGGTAACTGGAGACGAATCAGACAGTGGCTTTCTGGTGCGCGTCTGGTCTTTTGTATTGCGGGGTGACAGAAGAGACATCCCTGCAGGTGACTCTCCGCTGCATAGAGTGCAGGTGTGGTCCAGCCAGGTGTGGTCCAGCCAGGTGTGGTCCAGCCAGGTGTGGTCCAGAGTTACCGTGCAGCGTTTCAGAAGTGGGCTTCCAAAAAGACTACTGCATAAATAATCTACTGACAAATCCCTGTAGTATGAACAACGCTGGTGTATGGGCTGAGCCAGAGGAATTTTGAAAATAAAAAAGTTGTAGCTTAATAAAAAAAATCTGGAGAAGGGAGTCAGATCTTGGGTGTGATTTATCTTTCGTAGCGATGTGTTGAGTGCGAGTAGCAGAAGTGAGGTCCACAGATTAGAGCGCAGTGCAGCAAGTCAAAGAGTGGGCGGTGCTGTGGATGGTTATGTGGAGGGACACAGCCTGGGTCCTGACAGTACTTTGCTTAGGAACATAGTCCGGCCAAGAGTACTCTCTGGACGAGTGAATCAACCAAAATGATAAAATCAAAGCTCCACAATCTGCCTTTGTTCTGCAGGAAAGTTATCGTCCCTCTCTTTCACTCCATCACTTCGCATGTATCTTCCTCAGTCTCTCTCCATCTTTTTCCTTCTCCCTCTCGTCAGCCGTTGGGCTTAGATGTGGACTAATAAGGACTGGTTGGACATTGTTATTTTAATAAATTACATCATCCCTTTAAAAACAAAACCGCTGTTTGTATTCCCTTAGTATATAATGGATCAGCGGTTGTTGTTCTTAAACATTTATATTGAAGTAATTTCCAACATAGACCCGTAAAAGCTCTCTTACTAACACAAACAATATAGTACAGTAAACAGCGTCAATGTGAGGATCCTTTATGCCTTTAACAGAAACTAATTGGGTGCTGGGGAAAGTGTAGAACAACAATAGGAAGTGTGCTTTGGCCTGACCTCATGATCCAGAATTCATTAATAACTGTTAACTTAAAGAGCGAAAATAAATTCAAGTTACAGATACAAAATGAATATGGGCTTAAAGTGCTTTAAGTTTTAAGTATTTAAGTTGAGTGTATTAAA